GATTCCCATATCTGCACCGGAAGTACTACCAAACCGTCGGATAATTGGTCGAAGAGAAGCCACAAGAACCGGACGACTACTTACCGCCTTAGAACAACAGGCACGCAATTCACATCGGATAGAGCGAGAAGCTAATGCCCAGGCTAGAGACGACGTGATCCTAACACAACGACAGCTAACCCAGGGCACTATCGTCGTGAATATCGACCAGGAGAACACGCAACTTATGGTGTTGGTGTCATCATCATCTGGGGCTATCTCCGAGGCATCTGATGAAAAGACTACTGTGGAGCAGTCACGGCCTCAATCCGGACCACCAGTTCTGCAGCTACAACCACCAGCTACAGCGCCCTCGGGATCACTGTAAGATCAGCAGCAAGCGATGGCGAGTTCAAAGAGGATAACTACGCAACGGTAATGGATGATGACTCGCAAGAGATGAAGCGAAGGAGATAGAAATTTTGTTAGATGGTTCAATCACGGCTGTATAATGAAACAGTCAAGTGTAATAGTGTTGAAAGCATCGATTGTTTCAAATTGAGAGGTAACTATCTGAAGAACACAAAAACGAGATGGCAATTGTGTCTATTACCTAGCTAAGTCCCAAGCCGTGCGGTATCAGACGATGCGCTGCTCAGCCACTATCAAGAATGAGTGTGCGGCGCAAATGAGTGTCGAGATGAGTGTCCGGATCATCACTCCATCACTGCCTAGGTGGCAAGTGGCAACAGGAAATCGTAATACTGCTGCCTACGCAGCAGTATCCCAACAAGATTTAATTTCGTATAATTTCCCTCTTTTAGATAGGAAATCAAGAGTCTCTCGTTTTGTCCAAGCTGTCCCATACAATCGTGTGTGTGACACCCCATGCTCGTCCTGCTGGCAATGCGGCTGCCTGCATTACACGGGTATGACTCATGCAGAGAGCAATTGGGGCTCAGTTTTAGACGTGATCTCGATGAGTAAATCCCGAGAAGAGGTCAGGTCCAGTTTCCGAAGAATTTTTTCACGGGAGTTATTGAGAAAGTGGGATAACAGTGGTTAGAGGTCGGTGAGATTGGCCCAGTCGAGAGCTGAAGACATCAATATTGTGGGACAAACAAGGGCCGACACCCTGGTTCTAGCAAGGTGTAGAGTTCACGGAGCCTAAAGCATATTACTGTTATTTATGCATTATAAGCGCATGGAAACAGGCCAAAGTTGGGAACAACCGACGACGGCAAGTCGCGCCAAGAAAGAGCTTTTAGTGTAGGGGGTCACGGGGCTTATTCAGCCAGAAGCATTTTACAAACCAACAAGTTGATTACATTGCAGAAAAGAAGAACTAGGAGCTCTCGAGGCCTAGGATATTACTTATTATGCTAGAACTTATTGCATGGTTAGTTCAGGGAAAGACACTCTACATTGCATCTTTCCAAGGAGTGGTGGCGAGGCGGGGAAGTGGATGCTTGCGTCCTTTGATTATAGCTCCAGTTTTGCCAGACAATCTCTACATGGATTTTCACAAGTGTTGTACGTGTTGATTGACTCGTTTGGCCATCTTCATGACGGAACAAAGCGGGCTCTCTTTTAGGTGGCCCGTTTTTATTAGCGCGATAGTAGCAACGCATATTAAAATATCGTATATAGATTAGAGTGGTTAGCAAAGTAGACGTAAAATTAAAAATTATGCAATGAGAGCCATTTTACGCGCTTCTAGTAAAGACAATAATATGTAAGGACACTTTAACTCGCAGGAAATAGTCCTCTGCCAAATGTTATAAGTAAATGGCTTTTGCTCTACAGATTCAAGCGTTACATGACATTCCCTGTTCATTCTTAGGCTCCTTCTTATATCCAGTTTTGGATAAGTAGCAGGCCGATATCTTTTTCTACCATGTCTTTCCTTACTTTTATGGTTGTCTTTTTGATGGCAAATATCGTCAATACGAGCGTAATTCATCCACACCAAGATTCACCACGTCTTCAATGCGCAGAAGATACTCCGAGTCCGAAATTCCTAGAATATTCCAAATTTCTACAAGCCTCCAATTCGTCCCTCACACGACGCCAGGTACGAGAGGAATTCAACGTCCATGTCTTCGCGCACGTTGTATATTTTGATTATACTCCCGAAGGTGGCTTTGTAAAGGTACATTCTAGATTTCTTCAAGTTGTATAATAGAATGTACTGAATTGCCTTATAGGAGGGAGATATTAGAAATGAAATAGTTTCTATGAATGAATATCTTAGCGACTCTGGGATTTCATTTACCCTTGCTGATATTAGCTACACAGAACATCATGGTTGGGCCACTCACCAAGATGAAAAAGGAATGAAAGACCACTTGCACCGGGGAGGATACTCAGACCTGAATCTTTATTACATGTCATCTGTCAGATCCGATGGGAAATCCGTCAATGGTGTATGTAGCCAGCCCGTCCTTTGGGATATCGACGGAGAGCCGGTAGATGTCGCGACTCGAGATGACCTTATTCTGTCGGAAGACTTCATATTGTCAGATGGGTGCTTGATCATGGCTGCGGATGTCAATATGACCACTACAACCCACGAGGTCGGCCATTGGTTCGGTTTGATGCACACTTTTGACGGCGAATGTTCCGCTGAGGGAGATACTATTGATGACACTGACCCGCAGGAAAAGCCAACATGGTTTTGTACTTCAAACCCAGCTCGCTATCCCGATGGCAGACCCGCCGTTGAAACTTGTGGCGCCTGGAGAGTAAGCAACATGTATAATATTATGGATTACTCGTGAGTTATTCCTGTGCTACAGCGGGATTGCCATGATGTTTCTAACTACTTTATTAGAGACTGCGGGTCAACATTTACTGCCGGCCAGAAGGATCGCATGAAATATTGGGCGAGGTATCGTCAAATACTTGGAGCTCGTTCTCCATCTCGTGACCCAGTTAGTGAGCCGGTTGGTGAGCCGGTTGGTGAGCCTGTTGGTGAGCCTGTTGGTAAGCCTGTTGATGAGCCTGTTGATGAGCCTGTCCGTGATCCATCTCGTCCGCCAACGCTAGCTCCAGCTCCAGACCAAGGTTCTAATGTGGCTAAACTTTGGGGACAATGCGGCGGCGTATACTGGAATGGCCCAACCTCTTGCGCTGAGGGTCTCTACTGTAGGCGACAAGATGCTTGGTACTCTCAATGCTTACGCGCACCTTGAAGCCTCGGGTCATTTTCACAGAAACATACTCCATAAAAAAGGAGAAAAAAAAGTCGGTTATTACCACTTGAGAAGGAAATGTAGTTACAACAGCAATAGCAACGACATTGTCGCGAGCTCGAATTGGTCTTGCGCTAGGTCTGCGCCTTTCTTCCTTAGGCTTTAGATGAATAGTTGTTGTGATTGAACTTAGTTCTATTCAATTCTGGCTGACAGCTCTCATACATATGTTCCGGGCCAGTCACAAATACAGACTTGCCTATATGAATAGTAAGTATACTTCGGTAAAAAAGTGTACTATCTACTTTATGCCAAAGAAATATACTTCGTAGTAGGATAGTAAAGATAATATTCGCAGAGTATGATAGTAACATAGTGAAGTCAATACTAAATTTACTTCGGTTCAGAATTCGTCATTTTCTCGCCAAATCAAGTCGTCATTCAATCCAGCTCATCGTCTACGTCTTTATCTGCATCTACATCAATAGCTGTGTCAAGAATAATGCCATTATCACCCTCAAGTGAGAGAGTAATTAGACCCGATCGTATCCAGTTACCAATACACTCAACCTTTTCCACGTTGTTACACATCATGCGTTCTCTATCCCAGCTGAGAGTACGTCTTCCGCCGGAGAATGCTGATTCTGGATCTGTTGATTCAGGCGGAATCGCGAGTACATTATCACGGGGCGAATCTAAGGTGCTTGTAGTAACGTAGTTGTGCCTTAAGGAGGAGGGAAAAGGAGGCTATCTAGACTACAGCTTTATGGTGCGCTGATGGTCTGTGCTCATATGAGTGTCTTAGACAAGTCGTGA